GAGAATTTTTTGGAGGGCAAATAGTATATTCTCAGTTAAAAAATTATTCTTTATATCTTCAAGAATTTCAAAGTAATAGTTTAAAAATTTATTTATTAAGTTATATATTGTGATTTATTATTTTATTAATATTAGTTGTATTAGTAAATTAAATTTAAATAGCTTACATTTAGAGCATGACACTGAAGATGTTAGGGTGATTATTTTAATCTTTAAATATTTATAAAAAATAAATTTTTATTTTTACATTGAAAATGTAATGTTTTTGTTAAACTATATAAATGAAATATGTTGATCAAGAAAAAGCTGCTAACTTTTCTCTTTAATGGTTTAATTCCATTTATATTTCTTTAATTGGAATTATAAAAATTCAATTTTATCATTAACAGTGATATACCTCTCTTTGGTTTCAATTAATAAGGTAAATTGAAAAATTCAATACTTTTTAAATGCAAATTAAATGTTATAGTTAACTATTACCCTAAAATATGGGTGAATTTCACCTAAGATTAGGTCGAAACTAATTGCAATTTATCGCTTCATATTTATTCATTTCATTCTAAAGCTCCTTGGTTTCATTCATGGTATAAGCCAATTAATAAAATGAAAATAAAAAATAATCTAGTAATAGTTCAATTTATTAAATTTGATGTTTTAATAATTATAATTATAGGTAATAAAAGAGCAATTTCTACATCGAAAATTAAAAAAATAATAGCAATTAAAAAAAATCGTAATGAAAAAGGTAATCGTGAGGAATTTATTGGATCAAACCCACATTCAAATGGAGAACATTTTTCTCGATCTAATAAAGTTTTTTTTGATAATAAAGTGGCTAATATTATTACTACAATTGTAATAATAAAAATAATTAATGTTATTGTTGATAGTATTAATATTATTTATACTAAAATTGTTTAGTCCTTGTGATTGGAAGTCACATATACAAATATATACTTTATAAATATCTACCTCATCAATAAATTGTAATATATAAAAATAATCATACAACATCTACAAAGTGTCAGTATCAAGCTGCAGCTTCAAAACCAAAATGATGATTTTTAGAAAAATGATAATTAATATGACGTAAAAAGCAAATTAATAAAAAGTTGTTCCAATTAGTACATGT